CCTTTTAATTCATTATAAAACATCAAAATTATTATGCCAATATCTACACATAGGAAAATATTCAGGTCACAAAATTTAATGTATTGTTTTACATTATTATTTTAAATTATGTTTTTGCTAATTTCTCTTTTGATATTTCATACTTATCTGTAAGTCAGGACCAGAATATATCTAAAGTTCTTACTGTAGACTTTGGTTTTTATGTAAAATAAAAATTATTTAAGCACATATTGTTACAGCCAACATCATACTAAGTGGACAAAAACTGAAAGATTTCACTCTAAAATCAATAACAAGGCAAGGAAGTCCACTATCACCACTCTTATTCAGTATAGTTCTGGAAATATTAGCCAGAGCAATTAGACAAGACAAAGAAATAAAAGGAATTAGGATAGGAAGGAAAGGAGTTAAATCATCATTATTCACAGATGACATGATACTCTAAACAGAAGGCCCCCAAAACTCCACAAAAAGACTTAACAATTTGATTAACAAGTTTAGTAGCATAGCTGAATATAAAGTCATCATTCAAAAATCCATAACATTCCTGTACCCAAAGAACAAACTCACTGTGAGAGAAATTAGGGAAACAATACCTTTTACAATAGCATTCAAAACAATGAAATACTTAGGAATCCATCTAACAAAGTAAGGAAAAGATCTATGTATTGAAAACTAGAGTACTCTGAAAAAAGAGATTGAAGAAAATATCAGAAAATGGAGAGATATCCCTTGCTCGTGGAGGGGAAGCAGCCACATTGTGAAAATGGTTATTCTTCCAAAACTTTTATGCAGATTTAATGTAATTCTGATCAAAACATCATTTTCACACCTCACAGATCTAGAGAAAACAATCCTGAGATTCATTTGGAAACAGAAGAGACCTAGAATAGCAAAGCCAATCCTGGGCAACAAAGGGAAAGAGGGAGGCATCACAATCCCTGACTTGAAAGTATACTACAAAGTTACTGTGATAAAATTGACATGGTACTGGCAAAAAAAAAGCAGACTGTAGGGTCAATGGAGCAGACTAGAAGATGGAGAAACAACTTCAGATGGCCATCTTATCTTTGACAAAGATGTTAAATACATTAATTGGAGTAAAGATAATAATCTTTAATAAATGGTGTTGGCTTTGCACATGCTGAAGTTATGTCTGCAAAGGAGGGGTAGTGGAACTATGTGCTGCAGCTGGAAGAGCAAGCCCTCTGGGAATGAGAGACTATCTTATTAATTGTGATACCTCATGCTATGGTAAAGAAAGGTTAAGAAATGACAATTATCAAACACTTTTGGCATTTACTCATCCATCAGTGATGGTGAAATGTCAAGCACTTTTGGCTGGAACATTTTGGATCAGTGGAACTTACGTATTAGCACTATGAGTGACATAATAGTGCACCAGCCAACAATGAAATGATCCTGCATCTCCAAAGAAGTGTGTGGAACGGAGGGCTGTAATTCTACCAATTTGTACATGAGCCATCAATAAATCAATCACTATTTTGTCAAGCACTGGGATTTGGAGGTTAGTCATCATAGACTTTAACCTACCCTGATTAATGCAATGACATGTGCAATACTACTAATTTTTGCAATGTGATATTACAGCTGACAGTATTAGTCAGTTTGCCATTAACATAACAAAATACCTGAGGTAGGCTATTTATGAAGAAAAGGTATTTACTTATCTCACAGTTTGGGAAGCTGCAAGCCTGAACAGCATGATGCACATGCTGAAGAGCTCCTCCTCCAACCTGCACTGGCTGCGTCATTTCATATCAGACTGCAACGGAGGAGGATGTGTGTGAATAAGGGCTCTCATCTCAAATAGGAAGCCAGAGAGTTGAACAGAACCATGCCCAGGCTTTAAGAAAAACTCATCTTGTGAGAACTAATCAGGGCCCCAGAAGAAATATCTAATCCCTTTCAATCACTATTGACCTAAGGACTTCCCAAGAGATTTCACCTCTTAAAGTTCCAACTACCTCAGTATCAGTACACTGGAGATGACACTTTCATTGCACTTACTCTTGGGAAGAAACTACATCCAAACCCTAGCTTAGCTGCTTAATATTTGTCATTATTTGTCTGATAATTCTCAGTTGTATATTTTTGGATTTTCAACGTGGAGTATTATATTTCTTCTTCCTAAATATCTTTTGTTTTAAACAATAGTCTCCAACTTGTGAAATCTTGAAGCAAACTTGCACTGATACTGATAAAATTGAATTTGAAAGAATGAATGTGCTGTTAGTTTATTGTAAAATAGTTTTACTAATAAGAAATGGTCTCTGTTTAACTGAAATAATATGGATTTTTTTACACTGACACAATTTTCTGTCTATTGAAGGCTAGTCCAAATATGATTTAAGGTTTTTTGCTAACTTTAGGTATAAGAAAGCTAAAATTGTTTTTATTTGAACTAGCCAATGCCAATTAATCTTAAAGGTCAAAAAAGTTGGCTAAAAGGGTGGTTTCTGTAATCCCAATCATTGGTTGATGGGATTAAAGTGACTCATTTTTTCTACTTGATCTCTATATTTTTCAGTATTTATGATGTTTGTTTTGTAATAAGCTGATGACAGTACTTCTTTTTAAATCCATCTCACTCAAATATATACTTACTGAGACATTGAATATTTCAAATATTGTAATTCAATTATTCATGTAATTAGTGAACAGATATTTACTAAAAATAATTACTTATACACAATTGTGATTATAGAAAATGCCAGGTATTTTATGGTGGAACAAACTGAAATAGCATGAAGAGAGGAGAAAGCATAGTTTGCTTGATGACTATGTCAAAGGATTATGACAGTAAGCATCTATATTTTAAGCAATGTTCAGTTCAAAAGAGTAGATTATTCTATTATAGGTAGAAAAAACTGAGTCAGACCTCCAACATTTGGTAAATCTTTATATAATAATCAGGGCATTGAGTTCAGAACAGAATTCATAGCCAAGGTCTCCAGTCCAAAAAAAAATAGATGATAGATAGATAGATAAATATTCAGGGAATTGGATGCAGGGCTTTTCCACTGTGCAATATCCCCAGTTCTTTTTAATTTTTTTAATGTTTGAGATAGTGTCTCATTAGTGTTTTCTTGGATTAATTCTGTGATCTCCTGCCTCAGCCTCCCAGAGTGCTGGGATTATAGCCATAGGTCACCATGCTGGGCTCTCTAATATCTTCTTTAGCTGTTGTGTTAGTCAACTTTCCATCATTGTAATATAATACCTAAGAAAAACAGCAAAAAGATTTATTTTGTTTCCTGGTTTCAGAGTTTTAGTCCATGGTTTCTTGATCACATTCCTTTCGGCCTATGGCAGCATAGTATATCAGGGCAGAAGCATGTGATAGAGGAGACTACTCCCTTCATGGTGGCCAGGAAGCAAACAGAGAGAAGAGGGGCTGTGGCTCTAATATTCCCCTCAAGGAAGGGATCTGCATTGCAATAGGCCCCACTTTCTAAAGGTTGTACCACCTCCCAGTAGGGTATCGGTGTGGGACATCAATTTCAACACATGAACCCTTGAGGGATATTTAAGATCCAAGCCATAGCAGCAGACAGCCTGAGAAGTCCTGTGCATCATAAAATACAGATAATATAAAACCAACTATAATGTGCAGTTGTTGTCAGAATAAAATGTGATATTTAAAATGTCCCAATCTAATTATCAAAAAGGAGCTATGATAGTGGTTACAATAATGATTTACTCAGAAAATGCACAATGAAGTGCTTGAGTTTGAATCTTAAGATCAACTTATCAGTATTTTTGTAATTTCGGACAGATTATTTCTCTGGGCCATAACTCTTGTAAAATCGGGGGGAATATTTGCTGCTAATATAGGGAAGATAAATGTAACTCCCAAGCTGCTATCTGTCAGATACACTGAGTGAGTGTTTCCCCAAACTGAAGAATGAATTCTAAGAACAGAGATTCAGAGCAGGAAAATTTTATTGAGAGAGATAGCTCCCAAGAGGCAGGAGTAGACCCAAAAGTCAGTTGCGATGAGCCCACTTCTCAAAGGAGGTTTTATAGAGTTAAATCATGAAGAGGGTACAAAAGCACAAGGTGGGTACAGTGTGGGTTAAAATAATGACCAACCAATAAAATTACCTGTATAGCTGCCTAGTTAATATTCAGTGAGGAATCAAGTCACACAGCGAATGTACATGGAAAGAACAAATAACTTCTTAAGGAAGGGATGGATTATGGGATCTTGGTCACCCGCTGTGGTGACTGACAGCTATCTAGACTTTACTGGACCAGGTCATGCTATTTATCTATCCCCGGGGGAGGTATGTAGCCCTGGTCATTCTGTCTTTATCTTGAGGCCTGGCCCTTAACAGATGTGCCTCCAGCCACAGCTGTAATGTATTCTCATTCTCTGTACTGATTCCCTCTAGGGCATAGTCTTTTCTGACTGCCTATAATATTTCTACCTAACATAGCTGTCTAAAATACTGGGAAAATTAAAATAGGGCAATCCATATAAAATAGTGAGGCTTGCATAAGGAACATAACAAATGTTTAATAAATAATATTGTCAGCATTCATTCTGCATTAAGTATCAGTAACTTTGTCTCTTTCTGTAAGCTAAAGTTCTCAGCCATTAAACCTACTGTAAAAGCAACACATTTTATCAAATGTCGGTGTGCCTAACATTTCAAATATCAGTCCTCAAAAGTTATATGAAGCTTTCCCTCAAAAAGTACATTTCCAGACTGGAGAGAAATATCAAAATTTTAAGCCAGGTAAAATAATGTACACTTGAAAAAATTGTAAAATATGTCCAAACTTTCTTTCTGTAACAATATGTAATTTTGAGGAAATCAGGCCAAATATTACCAAATTAGGCAATGCTCAGGAAATTCCCTTTCTAACTGTCTAGCCCTTTACTGCTTTATGGTTTCGCTTTCCTTTAGAGAAGTTTGGGAATCCCCTTTGGACTTTCCTTCGGACTGACTTTCATATTCATATTAGCTGCTGGGAGACGGGAGGTGGGAGGAGAAAGGAAATTCTAAGCTCAGGGCAAATAATCATAGCCGAACCTAAGGATAACTGTTAGAACTCTTATTAAGTCCTCCTCAGAACAGCTTTCTTTCCTGCTCTAAAGAACCTCTGCTCCTGATTTTACGAGTTAAGGTAAGACTGGGGAAAGGATGGAAAGAGATTTATAAGGTCCAGTCAGTTTTTAAAGTAGTCTATCCAACATAGAGTGACTGTGCCACGTCCGACCTAGTAAAGACTAAACTGTGGTGTAATGAGACAGGCAGCACAGCATATTAGGTGCCAGCTACGTTTACTCCATGGTGAATTAGACACAGCAGAGGTCCAGGCTACTCCGAGATTTTGAAATGCCTTTAAACTCTTTTGCATTGTTTGCCATCTTATAACTAATTAAGATTCATAATTGCTACTTAAAATACCTTTGCCTTTGTTCAAAACCAATGAAAATGGCTCAAACTACTCCCTGAAAGTTTCAAGAACTGTGATTGTACTATTTTCAGGAAAACCATGAATGAGAGGTGCTGAAAGTAGCTTGCTGTTATTAAGAGCAAAAAAAGAAGTAGAGAACAAAAGTTAAAACTCAGAGTAAAGGATGAAGAGATTTCAAGAACACAATATATTTTTAGTCATAATCTCGTACTTTGAGAGTAGATTTTTGGGGGCTGGGGATTTAGCTCAGAGACACAGCACCTGCCTGGCATGAGTTCGTATTCCCAATACCAGAAAAAAACCAAAAATAAAAATTAAAAAAAAAGAGAGTAGATTTTTTTCTTTTGGAAATAGACTGATTTCATTGTTGTTTTTTCCCCTGGCACTCATTCACTCATTAATCTCCATGTGTTGGATTTTGCCTCTGTTCTATTGCCTCTGCTGTTATGAGTCACTTAAACCAACAGCTGGATTTCTCAATACTGTCCAACCATTCTCTAAATCTTGTCCCTCCTTAGAACTCTCTTCCTTTGAACTTTTTACCATGAGTCATGCATCACATATTTGTTGCATCACATGCATCACATATTTAGCTTACTAAGTGCTTTTATCTCCAAACTTAAAAGTCAAAATGGAAAGCACAAAACTAAGCTGGAATAACATGGTGGAAAAGAGAAATGTTTTCTTCCAGAACTCCATTACTAACACTGCTGAATAATTTTCTTACATTTCTTTGTATTTTTCTTTTTTGTATTTTTTCTTTACTACAGTTTTCTTTCCTTTCATGGTAGCAGTTTTATTGATAAAAATTTGCATTCGTTTTTTAGAAAACATGCTTAAAGAGTTCAGTGAAATACTAGTGTGATGCAACTAGCTAGCCAAGTGCAGGTCTAGCATTGGAAATCAAATGTAACTTTCTACAAAACCAAAATGTGCATGTTTTTCTGTGTGGTTTGGTCTAATCTTGCATTGCTTTTATTTACAAAAATTATGGGACTCAGAGTTAGAGACAATGCATCATAGAATACACATCATAGGCTGAGTTATAAATGGGAAAGTAACAATTATGTATGTGCTTTGATCACATCGACTACGCAAAGATATTTTAGAGAGCTGGCTCATTAAAAACATTAAAGATACTATCCAGATATGATTTGGGATAACATATAAAATACTATTAACAGAGATACACATCACTAATATTATTATTAATAAGGAAGTTTCAAAACTCAAGCAGATTAGTCCCCTCCCCTATAGATGACATCATTCCAAAGCACAAGAGTCCACAAGACTCAATATCTGCTTATAGATTTCACTTAATATATTTTGATTTCCTAGCTAATTGTTGGAGACCACACTGCAAGGTTTTCACATCTTTCTATTGTAAAGCTGATCCTAGCCCATGCTATAAACAAACCAAGTAATCAGAATTCTCCAAATACAAGCTATTAAATTTCATTTGAAGTGGTTTATAATGAAAAGACATTTGATGTCTGAGTTCTAAATTCACTGTGAAATTGCCCTTTTCTGGGTCAGGTTTCCACTGGGTATTTTCTGAAGGCCATATCTAAGGCTATGCCATTTGCAAATGGATCTCCTACTATCAGATCCTACTATCAGCTCACAAACTCCTATCAGCCCCCAAGTCTTTACTATCTGTCATCAGAATGACTTACAGGGCAAGGCTATGAGAAAGAGAGGAGATCAGGTCTTTATGACTGTTAAAACAACAAAGGCAACAGCAGTCAAGAAGCCCACAGCTTTTAACTTCTGCTAGTGAAAAGAATAGAGAGTTTTTCACTTTAAGACTTCTATGTAAATAAAGTCAAGCTGGTGGCATATTTTAACTTCTATAGTAAATAATCATGTATAAAATGGAAGAAATTCATTTTATGATAAGGCAAGGCAGAAAAGCAAGCATTTGCTTATATCTCATATAGTTTAAAAATATCTTCAAGCTACAGAAATTAGTCCCTAGAAGTACAAGATAAGTAATTAAGTGAAAGAAGGAGGGTTTTTTTTTTTTTTTTTTTTTTTCCCTCCAGTACCAGGAATCGAACTCACAACATTGCGCTTGCCAGGCAGGCACTGTGCCACTGAGCTAAATCCTTAGCCCCATGAAGGAGGGTTTTTTAAAACAAGTTTTTGTTTTTACTCATTCAACCAATCATAAAATGATCATGCTTTGAAGTTTTGGTTTCATAGCAGACATTGATAACCATGTAGAGATTCTTTAAAAGGCACAGTTGTAAGAAGTAAATGACTGTGAGTTATTAGATCTTGTTACACAAAGGCCTGGCAGTACTTAACAAAAGGCAGTTTCACCTGATATATACCTAATAAAAGAAGAGCAACAAATGCAATATAACAAATGATGGTGGTCTAAACTCAACCGAAGAATACAGGTAAGACAAATCAATGGGATAAGTTAGATTCAAACCATTAGCAGCTGATACTCAGAAAACGGGTTTCTCAGTGTCTACCAAGTTCCTGTACATAAATCTATCAAGGGCCTAGGATCTATTTTATTGTTGCCCTCTTTGCTTCTTCTTATTTTTTATTTTTAAATTTCTTCAGAAACTTAGGCCATGGTAGAGAATAATGCATTTCTAGATTTAGTAAGCACAATGGCTTTCTCTGGTTAAACACTAGAAATTCCATCCCATTCCATCCCATGTGTTCCTTTGCAGACACAGTAGCATCTTAGACATGGCCCCAGAGATCCTCATGCCTGAGCCACTGTGCCTCATTGAGAACACTGAAGAGAAGCTGGTGGTTAAAGAAGAAGCTCTGAGGATCCTGTCTGCAATCACCCAGCCCGTTGTGGTGGTGGGTATTGTGGGCCTCTACCGCACGGGCAAATCCTACCTGATGAACAAGCTGGCTGGGAAGCAAAAGGGTGAGTGCCACCAGCAGGGCTCTGCTGAGCCCTCTGTCCACCCATGATGTCACCATACAGCATGGGCATTGAGGAGAAAAAACGTTGGAGATGAAATTTTGAATATCTCCTGGGATATAAAAGGCAGCTCACGGTTCCTGACGTACCACTTCATTTTTAACTTTATTTTGTTTGTCTTAAGATTTCCTTGGGAAAACATGTATTCCTTTCATAAGGATTAAGACAACGATAAAATAATTTCCACATACATGAACTATTAAAAATTTAGTGCTGTGATATTATGATTAAAACACCATCAAATCCAAACTATGGTATTTGATATTATTTCCTGAAATTCAAATCAGTACTTGTATTTTCTGCAAACTCTTCTTCTTGCTTTCCTTAATCACTACCACAATTATCCAGAAAATACCCAATTTCCAGACCCCTTGTCTATGACAACCACTCCACTCTCCTTTGCAGGCTTTTCTGTTGGCTCCACAGTGCAGGCCCACACCAAGGGGATCTGGATGTGGTGTGTGCCTCATCCCAAGAAGCCAGACCACACCCTCGTTCTGCTTGACACCGAAGGTCTAGGAGACGTAGAGAAGGTAAGGAAGAAAGATTATTTTAAACTAATATCCTCATCTGTGAACATTCTTCATACAAGGAGTTTTTTTTTTTTTCTAAATTTGTACTTCTTGACCAGAGTATACTCATTTTTCTCCTTTCTATGTTTAACAGTGAGCTGTAGGAAAGCTGAAGTGAGAAAATACACTTACAAGGCAAAATCAATATTGGAAGAATTCTCCTTATTTTGAGCTAAGGAATTCCTAGGTTCATACAGATAGTGTACCTAGTTTCATAAAATCAGTGCTACAAGCCTACTCTTACACAGAAGATCATAGGTGAAGGCTCTGAGTTGGAGCAACTTCAATTCAAATCAGGACTCTGGCACTTGTGGCTCTCTGACTTTGATAAAAATAATTAACCCCAAAAACTTATTTTTTCATCAATCTTATCCAAATCATTAAACTCTAAACACATGGGCCTTTCTAGTTTATGCAGGTAAGTGTTTAACTATCAGGTATATTAAGAAAAATGTCTTGAATTGTATCATTGCCATTTCTAAACCCTCTAATCATAATTGATTTCAAGCTATCAAAGTGAAGCCACTAAATTCAGACATGGAAAGAGATGTACACAATTGGCTTTTATGAGCTGATGCAAGCTGATACTTGCACATATCTGAACATTTCTTTTGAATAGCTATGGTTTTATATGTTTTTTAAAGTTTACTTTTGATTTGCTAATATTCACCTATGGCAAACCATAATTCAAACTTGATTTCCTCCTCTACACGATGTAGATAGGAATTATAAACTTAGCTCACTATACTCTTCTTGGAAATAGATAAGATCAGTAATATTAACTGCCTCATGGATAATAATTACTCAAAAAGCATATGTGCATTGTATATATAGGACAGTTTTATTTTAGAGCCTGGAAAATATTGATTTTTAAGTACTATGGTTACCCAATTAACTTTGACTATTCATATTGCAAATATCTAGCAGTAATAAGAGGACTGGTGAGTTAACAATACACTGATCCATACAAAATCATCTATGAGAAAATCACACTAAGTTTATGTGTCTGACAATAAGTTTTGTATTGTTTAACATTTGTATGTCTCAATGCCATTTTCAATGATTGCTCACCTGGGAATGCCTTGAGATGTAAGAAGTTTGTTCTGGCTTCTAGGATGATAATAAGAATGATACCCAGATCTTTGCACTGGCAATCTTGCTGAGCAGCACCTTTGTATACAACACCATGAACAAAATTGATCAGGGCTCTATCGACCTGCTGCAGTATCCTTTTGTGGTCCAGGATGCCATTAAAGCCAGAGAGATCTCTGTTTACCAGCTATATGGCTACGAGGTTTTGTGAATCACAAAAATAGAACTATGATAAACATTAAAACTACACCAAAAAGAGTATTCGTATTTACTGATGTCAATTTGGTTGAGTGGTAGAGAGAAAATAAAGGTTTGGGGAAGCATGATATAAAATATAGGCATAGATGCTGTCCCGTTTGTGCAAATTTCCTTAACTGCATCTCAGCAATGTGACAGAACTGACAGATCTACTCAGAACAAGAAACTCACCTGAGCTTAATGGGGCTGAAGATGCTGCTGCCTTGGTGAGCTTCTTTCCAGACTTAGTGTGGACTCTGAGAGATTTCTACCTAAACCTGGAAACAGATGGCCAACTTGTCACACCAGATCAGTACCTGGAGAACTCACTGATGGTCAAAGAAGGTAAGGACACTTTAGTTTGGAAAGAGGAAAAAAATAACCCAACAAATTACTCCTTTTTGTAGGTGGTTGAATGTACACTTTTTTGTATTTACCCACTTAACTCCATTACAAAGACAAATAATAAATATTAATAACTTTGAATAAACAAATAGAGTCAATATTAAATTATATCATGTGTCTATCCTTGGAACAAACTTTCTCTTTTCCTTTGTTTCTCTGATTTGTACCTTTTATCATTTGCATAGGGGTTACAAAATCATAATAAGTAACATTAGGGGAAAGGAAATTTATTTGAGCAAATAATAAATGCAAATTTTATAGTAAATAAATCCTATTTTTCCATCTCTAGGTAGCAATGAGAGAATTCAAAATTTCAATTTGCCCCGTCTCTGCATAAAGAAGTTCTTTCCAAGAAAGAAATGCTTTATCTTTGAGTCACCTGCCGAGAAGAAGCAGCTTTCCCACCTCGAGGAGCTGCATGATGATGAGCTGCATCCTGAGTTTGTGCAACAAGTGTCAGAATTCTGTTCCTACATCTTCAGCCACTCCGCAGCCAAGACTCTTCCAGGAGGCATGAAGGTCAATGGACCCCGTGAGTATCTATTTAATTAATTTCCTTCTATACAACAGAAAGTATAAGGACCACATGAGTCTCCTTGTAGCACCAATGTTAAAATATGCATAAGTAACTACCACCATGAAAATCATGAGACACGATTATAAAATTATAGTGGATGTAAAATGTGTTTCTAGTATTTTTAGTAATACTTCCAAACTTCCACAAAATAGGGGGAGAAAAGAAGTGAAAATAGAATTAAAAGAGTTTTACTTATCTACTTTCCACTGTTGAACTACACTAATCCACACTGATTGGCGCCATTTGTTTCAGAAGTGTATTGGAGCCTCATTATGTGTCCAAGCCTTTGATAGGCACAAGACGAGCAAGATATAAATGTTCCTGGTAGACAGAGAATTCCACTGACACAAATGTTCAGCCAAGGTTAAAACTGTCTAGATTTCTAAAATATATGACTGGTGGCTTCATGTTCTCATTCATTCTAAGAAATCTGTCTGCAAATTCCATAAATAATCGCTATGTTATAGAAGGAAATTTTGCACAAGTTGACAGAGAAGTAAAACAGGGAAATTCCAAGCAAGAATAAGAGAAATGATGTGGCCTAAAATTGCTTAATTTGCCATTTTTTAAAGAAGAGGATATCTCCCAGACCAGTAGTATCATAACAAAGTAAAAGAGAAAAGCAAATTCCAAAGAAAATGGAAACTGACAGAGAGAAAAGGGAAGACTAAAGAGGCGAGGCCTATAGCATTCTGATCAAGTATGCATGGCTTGTATATAATCATTGCATTTGTTTGTAGACAGTTATGGGATGTGGACCCTCAGGTACACCTTGAGATTTACCATATTTTCTTTTTTGAACACAGTTTCTTTTCCCAAAGAAAGAAAGACCTTGCTTCTGAATTATATAATTATATAATTCATTTAATTAATTTAATTATATAATTTCCCAAAAGAAATGGATAATGCAGAGAATGGTGAAAAATTTCAGGCAGTGAATCACTAAAGCGACATGCTCAGAATTACTCAATGGAAGAGCGACTCTTGCTCCACAAGTAATATAACCGTCTTTTCCCTCTGTGAAGGTCTTGAGAGCCTGACGCAGACCTATGTCGATGCCATCAACAGAGGGGATCTCCCCTGCGTGGGGAACTCAGTCCTAGCCTTGGTCCAGACAGAGAACTCAGCTGCAGTGCAGAAGGCTTTGGCCCACTATGACCAGCAGATGGATCAGAAGGTGCAGCTGCCCACAGACACCCTCCAGGAGCTGCTGGACCTGCACAGGGCCTGTGAGAGGGAGGCCATGGAGATATTCACAAAGAACTCTTTCAAGGATGAGGACCAAACTTTCCAGAAGGAATTACAGGTGATTAATATTATTGCTGTTCATTCTAGTACATGGGCTTTAGGGTAAATAGAAGACAGTGATTTTCTATGAATGGTAAAAAGACTTAATTAAGAAAAGCAAGTACTTAACTTGAAAATAATGATAATCACTCATATGATCCACTCCATGATATTACTTTTATTCTAAAAATCAAAAAAGTATATAAATACTCTAGGTAGTTTAGATTTCAAAGTTTTCACATAAGCACAGACCTCACCTTGAACATATTACACCCATGGACATAAGTTAAACTGATTTTATTCCTTTCAAAATTATTTTTACAAGGTGTTACCTTTACTGTTTTAGTAGTGAAAAAAATTGGCGTTTGCATCTACTAAAATATGAGCTATCCGGGGTAAATAAAATTAGCTGATATCATTCCAGTTAATTATCCAACACTCCTTTTTCATTGAAGGTTAAAAAAAAAATCAAAGATGTTGTAAAAATAGTATTCTGCATTTAAAATTCTGGCCTGGGGCTCAGGGAGAGGGGCTTATAAGATTACATCTAAAGCACAGAGAACAAGAAAAAGTGGTTTTAGTACATTTCTAACCCCAAACTAAATGTTGTTTTTCATAGAGTGTCATTCTCAGCTTTTCAAGTTTTGAGAGAAAGGATATAGACTAGCTTATGTTCCACTAAATTTCTACAAAAGATTATATATTCTTTTTGAGAACAACACCTGGTAATACTGAATTTTTGCTAACATCTCCGGGATTTTGTCCCTTTGAAGACCCTCCTAGATGCAAAGCAGAATGATATTTGTGAGCGAAACAAGGAAGCCTCTTCAAAACGTTGCTCAACTTTACTTCAGGATATTTTTGCTCCTCTGGAAGAAGAAGTGGGGCTGGGGGTTTATTTTAGGCCAGGAGGTCATAATCTCTTCCTTCAAAAACTGGAAGCATTGAAGAAAAATTACTATCAACAGCCAAGAAAAGGAATACAGGTATCACCAGATTTCTCTATTAGCTATGGAAAATTTAGGTAATGTTCTCAAGGAAAATGAAGACAAGAAGAAAAACACATGTATATAGGCACAAAGATGAGTTTATATCTAGGTGATTTGCTGTTAATATATATTTAATGTACATTCCTTGTGGGGAGTTGGTACAGGTACATAATACATCTTAATTCCTTCGTTTGTCTCTTTGCCGTTCATTTCCTCCCTCCTCCACCTATCCTTGATCACTCTCATTTTTTCTCTGATACATATTTGCAGAGCATTATGTTTACATTCCTTGTGTGGAGTTTGTCCCTGTACATAACACATATTTTGTTTTATCTTCCCTATTGTCACTAGGGTTCTGTTCCAACCTTCAGTGCTCATTGCCACAAAGGAACAGTTCTTTTGGTTACACAGAACAGAACGCAAAAATTGAAAATAATTGAAGAATTCAAAAGGTGTTATCTTAGTTTCAGTAGCTATGGGTGCTCAGATGTCAGCGCCAAGGTTGTGCCCCCATGTGCAGCAGGACAGACCTGTGGACAGTTCTCCTGGATGCTGGCTGAGCATCCACTAGGGGGAAAACAGGAGCGAACAGAAATAAAGAGGTTCACAGCACTGCCCATTACCCTTGCTTGGTTCTGACTTTGTGCTTTGGGGTTACAGGCTGAGGAAGTTCTGCAGAATTACCTAAAGTCCAAGCAGTCTGTGAGTGATGCTGTTCTACAGACAGACCAGGCTCTCACTGCCAAGGAAAAGGAGAGGGAAGGTGAGATGAACCTGGAGGCAATGCAAGCAGACAGGAAGTTTCGAAGTTTGAAAATAAACATGGCCAGGACGGCCCCAGAGCACCACAATCAGCTACAGTTTGGTTCTGTGGATGGGGAAACGACCCAAGTCAACTTCATGATGGAGTTGTAACAATAATAGACAAGAGTGGGAAGCAGAAGGAAGGGGCACAGTCGTCTGAGAGAGGTTTATTTTCCTCCTTCTCTGCAGAGGCTCAGCGGAAGGCAGCGGCTCAAAGGGCAGAAGCAGAAAGATTGGCGGCCATTGCCCGGGAGAACCAGAGACGCCTGGAGGAGAAGCAGAGGCTCCACCAGGAGCAAGTGAGGCAGATGGAGATCCAAAGAGCAAACTTCCTGGCACAGCAGCGGAGGGAGCAGGAGCAGCGGCTCCGGGTATTTATCAGAGGTTTCATCTCAGGTTTTCCTTATCTCTCCCCTCTCTATGAGCAGGAGCATGAGCCCCTGGCAAAGGGGCTGGGCAGTGCAGTTGGAGGCTCAGGACAGGTACTGTGGAGTCTGACTGCTGGGCGAATCCAGGCACCACTTCTTCCCAAATACAGGGTTAGGGAAGCATTCTCTTCCCTCGGAGGCTTGTTCTCCTCTCCTGTAAAATAGACACAGTGGTGGTACATATGTTATAAGGTTAATTGGATAATTAGACGCATTAATCTGAGTGTTCAGAATGGTACTTAGTAGAGAATAAGTACTTTAAATTGTTAAATAAAATCTAAAGCATTTCTTTCCTAGAGTTATCTTTAAACATGGAAATTGCTCTGTAAAGGGCTGAGGATTTAGCTCAGCGGCAAAGCGCCTGCCTGGCAAGCGCAAGGTCGTGAGTTCGGTTCCTGGT